CGGCTCCGTCGCTATGAGGCTACCAGCTGCGGCTCAACGGCTGACCCCGCCCCCGGCGCCGCGCGCATGCGCTGTCCGCCGCCCCGTGACGCAGCGGGGTGTCTCGTGCGCTGGGGGAAGCCCGCGGGAGGGCCCGGGGAGAGGGGTGTTGCCCCCTCCCGCCTTGTCCAGGGCACCGCGCCCCTCGCGCCGCCCGGCGGGTCGGTGTCCAAAGTGCCGCCCCGTCGTCTTCTGATAGTGGCTCCTCTCCCCCCTGCCCTGTTTCCTCGCACCAGTCTCGCAGGCCGGCCCCGCCTTGCCAGGGCTGCTGCGCTGCCGGGAAAGGCGGAGGAAATCACCCCCCTGCTTCTGCCTTAGGGTCTCCCGCGCCTACAGCCGAGCCGCGCAGACCTGCCCCTGGGGCACCCCCGGGGGTAGACCCAGCGCCGCCCCCGTCTCCCGTCTGGATGGGGCCAGGCTGGTCTCGGTGCTGGCACACGACAGGACAAGGTCTCCGGTTGCATCCAGGGAGCTCTACGTTGGATATTAGGAAACAGTTTCTTCCTAGCAGGGCGGAGAAGCGCTGGAGCAGGTTCCTAGAGAGGTGGTGGGCTCCTCATCCTTGGAGGTTTTTAAACCCAGGATGGATAAAGCTTTGGCTGGGATGATCTAGCTGGGGACGGTCCTGTTCTGAGCAGGGGGTTGGACTAGGCCTCCTGAGGTCCCTTCCAACCCGGATTTTATACCATCTGTTTTGGAGACAGTACCATAGCCAGGACGTTTGGTGCCCAGGGCAAGCCCGCAGCAGCAGCCTGCCCTTGCCCACCACGCAGATCCGGGGGCGCCACCCCCCATGCTTGTCCAGGAGTGCATGCCCTCCCCCATCCCTGTGCCCCCCCAAATGAGCCACTCACGGCTCCATCCTGTGCCCCGCCCTTCACTTTGGCACCCAGAGCAGTTGCCCCACTCAAACCACCCGCCTTGCTACGGTACTGTTTGGCAAGGATGCTCCCCGGAGATCTCAGTGCAGCCTGCCTTCTTCGAGCATTTACACATGTGCAAGGTGGCTACTCTGATATGCCGTAAATGCAGGGCGTGGCAGCAAACTCGATTAATCTGCTGGAGTGCAGAAATTAACATGCTCCAGCAGCCTCCAGGATTGCTAGGGTTTGAATTGCACTCTGACTCTTGGGGGGGTCTGTGGTGGTAGCAGCCAGAAACCAGAAGGAGTCGCTGCCTGAGCTGCTTAAAAAGAAGCAGGGTGGGCCGGGACCTCCCAGAACATGTCTATAAATGCCCTTTGTTCCTAGACACATGAATGAGCCTTGAAACATGTTGTTTTGATCACTGTTGCTCTTTGACACTGCACTACCCACCGCTTTTTGAAGTGTTGTGTTGCCTTTCCTAATTAAGATTTGTCATAGAGCAGTAGAGCTGGAAGGAACCTCCAGAAGTCATCTAGTGCTAGTGCTGAGGCAGGACCATCCCTATTCAAACCATCCTATGCAAACCCATACTCTAACCTCTTAGAAAAACTACGGTTGACCCTGAGACAATGCAAGACATAACAAGCTCACCTGCCACATGCAAAGCAGGGGGACCACAGTGGCCAAAACCCTGTTTGTGGAAAAGGTTAATATACACTCAAGAGATCCCTGGTAGAGGGCCACACCCCCCTACAGAGGAAGGCAACCCACCTCCCCCACCCAGTCATCACCAGTCTGACCATGGAATCAAATTCCTTCCTGACCCCAAATATGGCCATTGGTCTGACCCGGAGCAGAGGGGCAAGACCATCTATCCAGGACCCTGTAAGTCCAGCAGGAGCACTGGCATACCCCAGTCAAAATCCCTAGCCTTGGCTATAACCAACTCTGTGCCAATAAGGGAAAACCAATCCAATCTCTCTAAGGGAGGCTTCCTACATGTAAGGAACTCTGACATGTAACAGGTTATTGATACAAGTGATGTAACCAAAAACCAAACCCTGCTGAGCCTCTCTAGAAACAGTCATTCAAACATGTTTTCCCCATTGCAAGTGCACACATGCATTTTGAGATATCAGACAATTTTGAATCTAGTTATTGGTGTTCTGTATTTGGATCTTTTTTTTTTTTTTTTAAATGTGCAGGGTGGGGGATGGCACTTTCATTAGAGTGGCTCTGAGAGCCGCACAAATTAAGGTGCTGCAATGTCTCCTGTATCAGCATCCCCACTTTTAAAAAGTGGCAGGGCCACTGTAGCTAAAGCTCATTCGATGAGCTATAGTTCAAGTGCTCCCACCACCATTTTTAAGTGTGGGGATGCTGATACATGAGGTGCAAGAGACCACTAGAGCATAGCAATTGCCACGCATTGAGTCTGCTCTAATGCGCAGTGCATCCGATGCATTGGAGCAGCCTCCGTGCTTGTGTATAGGCACCCCAAGTGTTAGGCCATAACAATGTAAGTGACTTAGAGTCTACAGATTTCCATTACTGTAACTGCAGCTCCTATAGGTAACCCAAGCTAATATTAAGTTTAGCTAGTTAATGAACAACTAGCAGTATAATCCATGAAAGCATGATACACTGTGCAAGCTAGCTTCTCAGGTGAGTTTTGTAGTCAGTGTGTCATGCTGTCCTAGCTATTACCTAAGCTAGCTATTGTAAAGCTAACTTTGTCAGTAATTATCAACAAGGGTACCCTGAGGTGTCCCCAGATCTTTTGAAGGGTGCCATGAGGTGTGGGGAGATAAGCAGATAAGCACAGGTTCAGATTTGTCCCTACCTGGCCAGTCCTCCACCACTACTGCCCAGTCCCTCTGCAAGGAAGGAAATACTGCACTATATAAATTAGCTTTTAAAATGGAAATACCATATGGAGGGGTGCTTTGAGTCCAGTGAGGGGTGCCTTCTCTTCAAAAAGGTTGAGAACCACTACTTTATGTATAGCTGGAGTGCAGTTAGAAGTGAATGCACTTGACATACTCTTGAGCATATTACATCAATGCTATTACCGTCATCAGTTAAACTTGCAATCTCATCAGAAAAGAATATCCGATGAATTTGACAGGATCCATTTCCCATAAATTCAGGTTGACTGGCAACCATTGTATTATCCTCCCTTAATTATTTATGAATTGCATTCCATACTAACAGTGCCATTATTTTGTCTGGATCAAAGCCAGGCTGACAAGTTTATAATGGCTTGTCCCATTTAATCCTTTAAAAAATGTTGGCACATTAGCTTTATAGAAAGGGCTTCATTTGCTATTTTTGCTGCTGTCATGCAATCACGAGTAGAGTCTGAGTATCCCCCAGCCCATCTGAGTCCACTTATGTGGACCAAAAGTTCCCCAGTGAGGCTTTTCTGGGCTGGTTTTGATTGTCTGCTCTTGAGTCCTCTGTCTCTGGCAGACACTAAGATAAGTCTGGAACAGCACTGGGGGACAAACCTTCTGAGCATTGTGTGCGGGCCGGGAGCAGTCTGAGGCTTTCGGGGGCACGCGGCGGGCTGTGGCCAGCAGCCCTGGCACGTGGGTCGGGGAATTCGGCACGGCAGACTAGAATTAGGCACGGACGCGTAGCGGTTGATTAAAGATTATTTTACTTACACCATAGATGGTCACGGTGCAGGCAGGAAAAGTCGCTTAAATTGCAGTTACAAATGAAAAGAAAACTCGCTCGAACAAGACCCGTAGAAAACTCGAGCCTCTTAAACCCGGAAAGAGCTCTGGATTCACACACACAAAGTTTGCTAGGCTCCGTGGACCGACCGAAAGCGCGCAGGGAAGGGTACGTCGAGGGATCAGGCGGCGACGGGGAGAGGCTAGAGGTTGATCAGGCCCCTGTATCCTCCTCTAAGTCACACGCAGGGTTTGTTAAGCTCCACAGCGCTTAGAGTTCTCCACGAGATGGATGTGGAGTCCTCCTAAATGAGGTCCTCCCCGGAGATCTCCAACTCGGGCGGAAACCGCTCAAGCCTCTTATACGGCTAGCAAGCCAATTGCTAGCCGCCACGTGGGAATAATTTAGAAACAGCCAATGGTGGGACACAAATTTGCATGCAAATGGCAGGAATTCCTTTGCACCAGGGTTTTCTCTATGCAACTGAGAATTGCACCGTGCAAAAAAAGCTCCTCGTGGCGGGAAATAATTCTGCAGTACCGAAGCACACACAAAATCATACCCTTGGGTCATGACACATAGTAGCACATCAGTGGATTGGAGTGGGGCAAGCTCACCCCTGCCTTTCTTGGGGCTCCTTGCTGATGTGGTGTAGATAATTTATATATATTTATAGATGGTTTAGAATTTCCTTATTTCTACTGAACTTTAAGGAAAGCACTTGTTAATTTTATTTATCATTTTCAGAATCATTAATATTGTCACCTGAAGACTTATTTAATAGGACAGCTGCCCACTTCATGGCTCTCTTGGTGAACTTGGTGTGGAAGCGTAATTAGTTGCTTAACAAAAGGGAAGTAAAAGAGTAAAAAACTTTGGGAATGGGAGAGAAAGGGACATGCTGCTGAGTATGGAGGGAAAGGGAGGGGGAATAATTCTTGATTTGGGAACTTTAAAAAGTCTCTAGCTGCTGCTGTCATGGCATGGTCCAAAAGGGGGACGGGTATAACCTCACCACTGCACTGATCTGCCCCTGGATTCACACTAGCATGAGTCCACCATTGGTCAGTGAATTGTAGAGTTGTGACCTAAATTAATGTGGGAGACAAAAGGAGAACGTATAATAACCACACAAGACAGAGAAAGGGAGAGGTAGTGTACTGATTGCAATAATACCACTTAATTACTCAGAGCAAACATAGACATTATCAATTTTGTGCAACTGTTGTTGGACTTTTCCTCACCTTTTATTTTACCATAGAAATTAAAGTCTTGTCTGTCATGGAAAACTACAATAACTGGAGAAATAGTTCAATGGCAATTTGAGAGCCAGTGAAAGCTGAGAGGAAGAGTTTT